AATATCCTTATAATACAGGCAATATAAGCATGACATGGTCAGTTGTTTCAGTCATGCCTTACCAGCAGGTACAGATGTGTTGCATGTAAGATATTCATAAATATCTCCTATCTTTGAAATAGGTCAGACTAAAAGGTCTGTGATATTTAGAAATTTCCAGTGTATAAATATGATTGACCAAAACAAATTTTTGCTATGGTTGTCTGCTCCAGAATACTGTCAAATTCTAGCTTTGTCTTTCTGCAAGGCTGTATCCCAGATCCATTGCTTGATTGTTTCTTTGGTCTTAGGAATCCCAAGCACAACTGAAATGGAGTTTAACAGCCCTCAACCTGTTAGAGAAGAAATTGTGAATTAGAATCAAGGGAGCTATACCAAAAAGAGTAAGATTAAACTGAAGTAACTGGGTAATTACGTAGAGCCAAGCACATGCTTCAAGGGGGAACCATTCTAGATTTCACTCTAAGCAAGACATTATGAAGACAAGAATAGCACACAGGAATTTGGCCTGTATTGCCTCTAAGGGTTGGAAGTTTTTTAGAAGTGAGAACCATACAAAAGTTGGGCTATTACTTTACCCTGCCACTCTTTTATCACAGAGGATATAATATGTATGAACCTCGTCTGAAGAAAAAGAATCAGAGGACACACCAGTAGTCCATTGGGCATTCACATTCATCTCAAAGTTAATACTAGCTCCCCTGACAGCTAAAGCCTGTCCTGTCTTTTTTTGCTAAGCACATCTAGTAGCCTCTTGGCAGTGTTGTTGGGGTGAGTGTTGCATGGGAGAGCTGAATGAGAAGCACGGGTTGATTAACCACATCTAAAACATCACAACCTAATCTTGAGAATTAATGAATGCTCTTAATTAATATTTCCACAATATTCTGTGTTATGTCTAGTTTAGCCTATAGCAAAATAGTAATAGTAATCAGTCCTGCAATGAGATGTAAGTGGTGTATCTGGTATATTTGACACCCAGTGGATCATTTTTAATATCTCTCTCATCTTTTCATCAGTTTTTTCTGGGTCTAATGGAGCTGCTGGCCAGGCAGCAAAGGGAGGTGACTCACTTTCCCACCAGGCCAGGAGACCTGCCAAACCTAGAAGGCAGCCCCTTCCCAACTTCAGACACTGGTAGGAGTGGGTTGCTGCCATTTCTTGGTCAGCTCAGCAGTCCTGCTAGGCCTGGAAGGAGCTGCCCAGCAGAAGCAGTACCCCACTCCCACCAGTGGCTGCAGCTGATGGATGACAACGGGGGGGGGGG